TCCATGGGGTCACAAAGAGTTGGGCACGACTTAATGACTAAACAGCAACAATAATCCACTTCCTTATTCACATCTACGGATGCGGGCAAGAAGAAGTCTTGACCAGGCAGAAATACAGGACTCAGTAAGATGTTTGAGAGACCAATAGTACGTGTGGATGAGGGAAAACGTGTAGCAGGCTGGGAGGCATTGTATAAACTAAGCACAGGATTGAAAGGCTCACTAGGCAAGCCTCCGAAAGCGCCTACCAAATTCACTGGCCACTTCTAAGAGAAATGAATTCGAAATGTGCAATGTGTGTTGCACCCTGAAAGGGGCTGCTGTCCAAAGTGGTGGTTTTCAGAAGTTGGTTTAGGCAGCCAGGAGATCAGATTAGGACACTGAGTGAGGCTCTCTTGAGGAGAGAGGTCAGGAGACAGCTTCATGGCACCTCTTGTTGGGTGGAAGAGGGAAGGAGAAGGTGAAGGCAAAGGAAGGCATTTCGGAAGGAGATGGAGAGAAGGTGGCAGGAAGCTCAAGAAAGACACACTGCTATAAAAGCAGTAAAACAACATTTCTGTTCTTAAGAGACAGCTTCCTGTTTCGGCATTCCATTTTTCATATATTCTTTATAATTAACTGTTACACTCATTAGCCAGTAATCTCAAAGGAAGTGGAGGAGGTCTCCTTTTTGAGGTCCCACTGGCTCAGGACAAAATAGCTGCTCCCCTATATGGCACAATGAAGACCATATTCCCAGGTGGGGAAGAAGTGGCATTCAGTCTGTGCTGACAGTCTGTGCAAAGGGAAGAAGAGGTTGAGTTCAGTGGAATAAATAGTGGAAGCAAGAGGCACCAAGGAATTCCTAGACTGGATGCACTACCCCCCCCCAAGTCCACCACTCCTTTCGCAGCGATATCTGACTGTAACAGAGATGAATGTGCACCTCTTGTTGCTCTCTCGAATTATGAGTGCAACTCAAGGCCTGAAGCAGAGCTGAAACTCTTTTGGTGCCGAGATCTTCACTCTCCTGTTGGTTAAGCTTGTGTCAGATGCGGTTGTCATACGTGGGAAAGGATGAAGGAATGGAGAGGAACACTTGGATTTAGTCAGACAGCCACCATGTTGGTTCTCTGCTGAGCCTGCCTCTGTATTTCCTTCTGCCCAAAGAGGAGCAGCTATAGGTTGTACATATGCACCTGCTCAGGATAGGCAGGCTTGTGCCCCTTCCAGTACTGAATGCCAGTGACTCAATTGACACCTTTTAGGAGCAAATTTTCGTGCTCTCTACATTTTGGCACCCTAGGTCAAAGCCTTGCTCACCCTACCCTAGTTATAGTTTTGACCTGAAAGCCTTTCAAGAAGAGACATAGCTTTATAGACTGGAAGGGCTTACTGGGGCTTCCAGATGAGACTTTTCTCCCAGTATCACTGTGCCTCAAATATGCAATTTAACGAGCTGTGTGTCCATCCAACATTGTCTTCCATGTTTTCATCACCACTTCTTGTGTCTTTTTTCATAACAGAAAATAATTCATGAAGGAGAGGAGGGAAGATGGAATAGGCACACAGTGCTTTTGGTTTAGTAGCATTTTGGAGCCCGCCATCTGAAGCACCTGGTGTCTGTATGAATAATAATCTTAGGACCTCAGAACTGAAAGGGACCCTATGGATTATTAGGTCCATCATATATGTGGCAGATGTAGCTTATTGAGGACTACACTTCTGATCGGTTGTTGCAGGCTTGTGTGGATAACATGACTCTTCCGCACTGGTCTAGGTTGTGGATTGGTGAGAAACTACGTTCATACAACTGGTGCCCGGACAAATTAGTGAGCTGTTGGCCATTCTCAAGAGGTTACAATCTCTGTCGTATACTTCTTTTACTCATCTTGCTCCAAGCCATCCTTCAAGACATAGGAGTTGCCCCCAAAATAACGTAAGAAACAGCCCCTCTTTTTATTTCGCTTCCAGAAATTGTTCTCCGTCTATTCTGGTCTTGCTTGCAAGGGCTCCGTTTACCCTCCCATGCTCCATTCCTACCCCATTAGTCCATGTACAGTACTTGTGGAATAATGGAGAGAGGAAAGTTGCTGGTAATATGTTGGGCCTCTGCCGTCCCTCGAGGTGCTATACAAATCTAAGCAATTTTCGCTTACTTGCCACTTGTCAAAATCTGGAAAAGGACATTATGAACCCTGCAGAAATTCTTAAAATGGCAGCTCCTATTCAGCCAGACCTTTTGTTCTGTAGTTTTTGGACTCCTGAAAGGAGTGCCCCACTGTTCTAATTAAAATAAATGGGTGAAGGACAGGCGTCTGCATTTCATATGTTCTATGAAAAACTGGAAGTTGCGGGGAGAGGGAGCATAAAAGAAGCCAAATATTTTATAAATGTAGTGGGGAAAATCTCTTTACCATAGTTACAAAGGACCTGTTTTGTAGGGGCGAAACAGGTACTGTATAGGGTGGGGTGGGGGGGAGGGACTAAAGAAAAACAAGGGTTTCTGAGATTTTTTTTTCCTTTAGCATTTTCCAAATCAGAATTTTAAAAACATTTTGGGCATGTTCTTGAACTGGGGAAGAAGATACAAATAAGAAAAACTCTTAAGAATGAGCATGGAAATAGCTCTATTTCAAGTGTTTTAGAATTTGTATTCGTGAAGGCTTTCACTGCCGGGATCTAATGGTTGTTGTGGGTTTTTCGGGCTCTTTGGCCGTGTTCTGAAGGTTGTTCTTCCTAACGTTTCGCCAGTCCCTGTGGCCAGCATCTTCAGAGGACAGGAGTAGCATGTTTTAGAATTGTTTGTATCATTGAGTTTTTTACTTTTGTGAAAATCTAATGCTCTTATAAGCTGGAAAGCACAGCTGCTTTTACATTTAAAATTTCCAACAACTAGTGCAAATTTGAATATGAATATTTTCAGACTACATACATTTAGTCAGAATTGCTGGGCATGTTTGCCCATGGAGTTCAGTGGTCCTTACTCCATAATAAAAGTGCTTAGGAGTGCAGCCCTTATTAATATTTCTGTCGGCTTTTTGGTTTAGTGGTTAATCGGAAGCCAGGCGCATTCAATGAATAAAACAATTTCATTATTTTTTTTATCTCCCTCTTTTTTGTTCTCCTTTATGTGTTTTGGAGATTTGATCTTTGTTGCTTCTGGCATATCCAGCTATCTGTTGCCTTCATGGCCTTGTTCCGTTCACAGCATCCATGGTGCTTTCATACTAAATTGTGCCCACTCTTTTGCCCTGTTCCCCCACTGGTAGTTTCTAACGTTGTTACAGTAAAAATACTGTAATTTGATGTTGCAAACCCTGGCTTGGATCTATGTCTGTGGCGCATGGAGGAAAAGCTTGTCTATATGAGCAAGATAGCCCAGATGAATTCTCCTGCTTCCTCTGTCCACGTGTAGCCTTGTATAGCCCACTGCCAAAACCCTTCCTTTGATCCTCAGAAGTAACTTTGTGGGGAGGGCGATTCTTTTGTATGCTCTTATATATGGATGCTATCTAAATGCACTGGCAATGGTGGACGAATGAAGCTGAGATTCTGAGAACTGTTTAGGTTAGAGGGATATAAATGTCCAACAGCAAATGACTCAGAAGGGTCCAGAATAGCATTAAAATGAAAATCTATACTCACCATATGAGTGACATTCTGAGATAAGGACCCTTATTTAGCATGATCATAAGGGAAACTGCTTTCATGCATTTTTGCACTGTTGGCTGGCCTGGGTAAGTTAATTAAGGGAGACACAATTGATGCTGGGTGTTCTCCATTACTAGGAGCTATTTAGTTCCTTTCTATAGGTGAGGAGGATATTTTTGCCTCAGGCTGAAGAGATTGGTAAAACTGGAGAACTATTGCTAATCCATTATACCCTAGTAGTGCAACATAAGCTGGCTTCCTTGAGGCTGCTAAAAGTGGCTTGCGTAACTGTGGCGTGAGAGTCCGTTGCCATCTCCTGACCTTTCACTGGAGCATAATATGAAGGTGGGCAACTTTTCAGAGTCTCAGGGTGGGGGGCAGAGGCATTTTTGCCTTCTCCCAGAATCTGGAGGGCTGCAGTCCCCTTTGGATCCCTCTGAACTCTAGAGGAAAATTGCTCAGAACCCTTAGGAAGGAGAAGGTTAAAATTGCCATGTAAATGTTTTTCACCCCCAGATAGGCCAAAAAGGGGTTTTATTAAGAACAGGAAAGGCTTTTTTTTCTTTTCAATCTACTTTGGACCTGAAAAACTCCCAAGAACCTGAAAATAGACTTTAAACTATGAATTATGCCACCAAAAGCCTGTGGGAAATACAGTGGTGCCTCGCAAGAAGAATTTAACTCGTTCCGTGGTTAATGTTGTCTTGCGAAAAATTCATTTTGCGAAACGCGTTTTCCCGTAGGAATGCATTGAAATCTAATTAATGCGTTCCTATGGCCAAAAAAAGTCAGAACATAGGCAAATTTGGTGTACAAAGGCTTTATTAAGTGCTCTTTAAAGCCATACATATTGTGCAGATGATTTTTAAAAATTCAATCAAAAAACTTTAACTTTTTAAGCATCATAGAAAAACATTTCAAAATCAGCAAACATGAGGCAGAAACAAAAAAATGGAAAACATTTGTCTTGTGAAGCACGGCTGTAGGAACATTTGTCTTGCGAGGCGCCACTATAGTTTTCTCTTTTTGTTTTAGTTAGGAAACATTGGAGCACCCAGGAGAGTTGGAAAACACCTCAATATCCTTTGCACCTCACAGACTGTAATTTTGTTCACCCTTGATCTGTTGTATGAATCCATGTGCTAAAAATATTCAGGGAACAATGTGCCGAGGGTGAGATTAGAAGATCTCAATGTATCTTCCAGCAATGCTGTTCTGTGACTGTATATGTGCTGCACATGCAACCATGGATCAAAGCAGAACTTCCTACAGGGCATCCTTTTTTAAATTTTCCTATTTTGAATATATTGTATCTTATAAGAACATTTTGCCTGTCTCTCCCCCCCTCTTCCCCCCCCAATCAAAAGGTTGTGTGATCGGCCATCGGCGACGCTTGTCTTCATCAGTTGATCCTATCTACTTACGCAAGCAGTCAGGCAGTCATCAGAGAAGATTTCTGTCTTTCCATAGACAAAGAAATGCTGCTTATAGCATCGTCTGGCCGGCTATAGTTTCCCCGGCACATCCAGTTCCTAAGGTACTGTAATTTCTATTATCTGATCTTTTATCCAGTCAATAGAAAGGTTGACTGCACAAGTGATCAAGCACATTCATCCTTGACAGCTGGGAGTTTGAATCATCGTTTTGTTACCAAGGCTGGGATTTGATATCGGAACACCGGCGTGCAAAGTTTTTGGCTCCCTGCTATGCTAAAGAGATCCCTAAATCAATTTCTCAGACAGTTTAAATCCGATGCTCGTGCCACTGCTGCGACTCAAATGTGATTTTGGTGTGTGTTTGTCTCTTGTTTAAAAAAAATGAGAAGAAGAAAGTTATTGTGAAACTGGTTATATGTGAAATCAGGTAATTGGCCACACTTGAGGAGGGGAGAAATCATGGTTCTTTCACTGTACTTTTTTTAACATGGCAAGCCTAAAAACATTTCTGTCTACCTTCACCCTTGTTGGTTTGCTTACAACTAAAATGAAATGTATATTAAAATGTCAGCCAGTTGCCCTGCTATGAGCTTTATCAAGTAAACTCTCCTGTTACTGGTTAAAACTAGCTTACTGGAAGAATAAGCAGCTTAATTCACTGTTTTAGTCCAAATTTTTGAAAATATCATAGAAAGTGAATGTTTTGATTTATAAATATGGTTTGTTGTAGTAATTCTTGAGATTTATTGGAAGTATTTATTCAAACTATTTTGTAACCTTGATTCTACTTGTCCAATTGTTTGCTCATTTCTTGAGATGTGGATCCCATGATTTCCGCAGGGCTCACGTTCACTGCAGTATGCTTAGAACAGCAGCTATGACTTAATTAGAAGCTAGTTTCATTGAGTAGAAGGGGAAAAGCCTATCTATAACTCTTAAACATAATTCAATATTATTATGGTGAACTCCACAGTAAATTGTATGTACAACAGTCGTCTTCAAAACAGGAGGGGTGCTATAAAAATGTTTTTCATTAGAGGGAAAGCATTTACCAGACTTTCCAGCAACTTTGAACAAAATCATATATTTTTTAAAATATGTTTAATAGAAGAGGTGGAAGCTTAGAATCTGGCATTTGCCACTTATAAAGCACTTTTTCAGTTTCAAAACTACATTCTTGTGCCTCTTTCTAACTGTTCCTTGATCTAAACAATTCTGACTGAAATCCTATTGCACAGCTCTACCTGCCCAGCAGGAATGGTGTTACCAATCAAGGACAAATTGCTGCTAACTGAAAACTTCCTTGTTCGTTTTTCAGGTTGTGATTGGTTCACACAAAGTGCAATAAAGGCATGGGTACCCTGAGATTGCCAAAGCAAGTCTTAAATCAGCTGCGATCTGTCAGTGATATGTCAATGTGATCTGCCCAACAGAATTTTGGCCTCTGATTCCTATTTGCATGTAGGAACCGGTTATTGTTTGCTCCAGGTTATCACAGTTCCATTGCGGACAGGAGTGCATATGTAGCCCATTTTGGTGAAGATTCTGAAGTACTGAGTGTGTCTCTCATTGGTATTTTCCTCTAGTCATAGAGTGGTCAAATTGATACTGAGCTTGTGTGAATGTCAAGATAACATTATTAGTAGGAAGCATGGATGAGAGAAATGCACACAAGTCCAGGCTTTTGATCCCAGTCTCTTAGGTGAAAGCTGCTACTAGTATCCTTGAGTCCTTTTAAGGAGAAAGGAAGGGTACAAATATTTTAAATAAATAAATAAATACCCTGAGTCCAAGCACTGATCTTGGTTTTCCAAGCCTAACATGATGTCTGGTAGTGACTTTCATTATGGACTCTGGGAATTAAAAAAATACAGATCCTAGAGCTATAGATCTTCAAAAATCACAAGTGGAAGCAACAGTATTGGCAGTTGTATGTATGTATTTATTTAGAAAAAACGTGGCAAGATGTGACACTGAAAACTGTGCAGAGCTTGTGGTAACCCAGTTGTTCGTTCATTTGTGTTGGAATTATTTTCAGTGATGTATGCTCATTGGCTCTCCTTGTTTTAAAGAAAAAATATGTATAATAAAGGTGGTGAGTATTCTGGTTTGCCTTCTTCTATACAGTTTATCCCTGGCTTGTGTGAACATGTATGTACATAGCTGGAGTGTTGTTCCACAGCACAGTCTTAAGATGTGTGTCTGACTAAAGTCACTTTTTGATTTTGTTTATAAGATCAGAAGACAGGTGAGGAATAGGGAGAGCAATCTCCATGAGAGTGCAGTACACATTTTAGTTGTTATTCATGTGCCTCTCATAGGAGCAGCATCTAGGGAGTTCTGTTGTCATGTCCACGCATTACAATGGTGCTTCGCATAGTGACAATAATCGGTGCAGCAAAAATCGCTGCAAAGCGATTTTGTTGCTATGCGATATTAAAAAGCCCATAGAAATGCATTGAAACCCCTTCAATGCGTTCCTGTGGGCTTCAGACTCACCTTTAAATGAAAATCCTCCATACAGTGGCCATTTTCGCTGCCCGGCAAGCGAGGAATCCGTCCCAGAAAACAGCGGGCGGCCATTTTTTTACCTGGTGGCCATTTTGGAATGGCCGATCAGCTGTTAAAAATCATCGCTTTGCAATGATCGGTAAGCAAAACAGGGTACCGATCATCACAAAGCGATTTTTCCCTATTTAAAACATCGCCTCTATGCGATTTCATCGTTAAACGGGGCGCCCGTTAAGCAAGGCACCACTGTATATGAAAAACCTCTGTCTTGGGTTGCACCACACCAGACTGCCAACAAGGAATCATGCATGTTAGTTCAGGATATCTCACCCCGTCCCAAACCCTTATTAACATGCTAGGGAGTACAATCCTAACTTCCCATTCTCTGACGTGCTAGTATTTTTTAATGTAAGTCAGACTTCTGCTTGATGCAACGTTTCTTAATTCAGCTTTATGAGTCTATATGTGTTATCTGAAGCAGTACAGACCAGTGATGCAGATTTGGTACCACTAAGCCTTATATATATACGGGGTGATCCCAATGAATGAAGAGGTTCGCACCCACCTCTCTGCTCCCAAATCTTATGAACTAGATGTGAAAAACAATTTAGGGAAAGAAAGTGAGGCAGTGTGTCATGACTAGAAGTGTGGCTGGGAGGAAGCCTGTTCCTTGCCTGGCCCTGGCTGGCCTAGCCTCTGTTAGAAGAAATCTGAGGTACATGGTTGCTGTGTGTCACACACAGATGTTCTGCATTCCCTCTCCAAAATAAACAAATAAAGGAAAAATCTTCTTTTCAGTGGTAGAAGAGAGAGTGCTTGCCTCTTAGGAGAGCACCTGTTCTCACTACGTATTTAAATGTTTCCAGCCTTAGTTCAGGTGGAAATGGCTTTCCAGAAGAAGAGGGGCTGAAAATGTCCAGGCTATGGAAGAAAGGGTACAAAGCGTCCAGATGACGTCTACAAGCCTTGCCCATGTCTTCCTTTGAGTTATAGCCAAATCATGCACTCTTTCTGTAGAAACAGCAATGCGAGGAAGGGCGAGGGGGCTAAGCCCTGTGGTGTAATTTCAGCACCACGGTGCAACATAAAGACAACTGTGAGGCTGAGGGTTTTTGACTGATAGCAAATCACTGAGAGAGAAATAAACTGCAGAGATAGAGAAAAAGTAAGTCACCTACTAAATTTAGACCTACAACTTTTCACCACTCAAGCAAAATTCCCATTAAAGATGGGATTAAAGAGGTCAGGATTTCTCCCTTTTGACATGTATACACACAGAGAACCCAGCTGATTTACCTGGCTTTTGTCCAAAATGTAGAATATATGTGTGTGTGGTAAAAACAAGGAGACAAAACAAAAATAAATGTGGTTTCTGAGGAGGGTTTGCTCTGTTTTGAGCCTCCGAGTGAAAAGCTGCTGTGATGTCTTGAATTTCAGTGCTGTAAGGTTAACAGACTGTCAGAGTTGCTAGTAACAGGCAATGTTAAGTTCAAAAGGGCAGCGGTAGAAATACTGAGGCAGCCTTGAGGGTTTGCCCTGATGGCTTAGGAAGGTCGCTACCACGACTGAAAGGGCAAGCTGCCATGAAGCAGGAGGCTCTATCTGAGAAAATGATCCCATTGTCATGCTCCGTTTTCTGATCTTTATTTTCAATCCTTTTTCTCCAAGCACATAAAGAAGCCAGACTATGTGACGACAGGCATTGTACCAGACTGGGGAGACTACATAGAAATTAAGAACGAAGATCAGATTCAAGGGCTTCGTCAGGCTTGTCAGCTGGCCCGGCACGTCCTGCTTCTAGCAGGGAAGAGTTTAAAGGTAAACAGTCACATACAGGCCTGGAAGAGATCGGGCCTTTTGCATTGGGAGTTTTACTTACAGTTTTGAGGGGGATTTTGCTTTCACATTTTATGTAAAAAAAATAATAGTGTCTGAAAAACAATTAAAAGATAGCATCTTATCTTTACATGCATCTGTCAACAAAACCATGAGTAGTGCTATTTCTGCCCCTCTCTTCACTCTAAATCTCCACCAAAAAAACCCCTAAATTCAGGTTTCAAAATAAAGCAAGCCGTTGTATGTGAGCCTGTCAGTTTGTTCTGTTTTATTCCAATTGTCTCTGGAAAACATTTGACATCTTTGGCAGGCATTTACGTTGGAGAACACCAGAATCGTGGATGAAGGCTTTTGTGCACAAGGAGAGCATAGATACCCTAGTCTCTTGAAAGCCAGAAGAATTGGTGACTAGGACTGTAGTCTCATAAACCAAAATGGGGGAGAAAAGTAGGGTGGTGGTGGTGGTGGTTAAGCCGTTTGGATTCCAGGTTTCATATCAGTTCAAGTTTGTGTGTAGCTAGCTCATTATGTGCTTTTAAAAAAGTACTTGTAGCTGTAAACATACCCTAATGAAGTTCAATCAGCATTTGCCATCATTTGGGTCTACATTCCAGCATGCCATGTTGTGTATGTTTATTCTAAAACGCATGAGAAGCTGTTGTGTAGTTAGAAAGCAAATCTCTTTGTTCACACTTGCTAATTTTTGGCTGTGCATTTATGTAAATTAGAATCGGCTTTTCCTAGCAGTTGTACTACTTGCCTTCCCTTTCTCCTGAAGTAAGCTCATTAATGGCTTAAAACCCATTTGGAAAGCTTGCCATGCATAATTGTTCTTCTGTAGTGTCTCCTCAGAGTGTGGGATTGATTATCACATTTTAATAAAGGAAAAGTATTATGAAGAACATTTTGTCAGATTTTGGATAAGGGAGAGGGTTTTTAAAAGTCTGCCCTAAAAATAGTGGTGAGAATTTTTGGTTAAATGGGGACCTGCTATGTATGGCTGAAGGATGGTGGTTGTAGAAGATACTGACACTTTGTAGAGGATAGTTGTAGAAGATTATGCATAGTTTTACGTAATATTGCCCTACTCAGGTTTCCTTGTAACTCATTCGGTCCCCAAGAAACAACACACCCGTTTAGTCTCAATTCTGTCCTTTTGCACATTTTCATTCCCATAGTTAGTGTCTGAAGATCTGCATGAGATGTTCCATGTGTGTCCCAGGATCTTATTGTTCCTCTCATTGTAGCCCCCTTCCTCTTGGAAAAACAGTGTCTGAGGATCAGAAAACTCCCAGCAAAATGTTGCAGCAAAGGCTGAAAGGAAACGGGTGACCTTCTCCATGCATGAGTAGGTGGACCTTCCATTTTGCATGGAACACTTTGATTTCAGGTCAACAGCACAGAATATACTTCTGAAACAAAAACACACATTGCATTTGCAAACCAGCTCTGGTCAACATTTTTATGTCTGATTTAGTCCATTAAAAAAAGTACTATTCAATTTCCTCCCGTTGGTCATCTTTATTAACTTATAATAGTAAATATTTGTATAACTACTTCAGCTACGTCTGTGTAATGCTGGCACTCCTTTTGATGTAGATTCTCTTTTTAGAAGTCAGACTAATAGTTTCTATATTACATTGAATGAGAACAGTGGTAGTTATTATTCCAAATGCTTTTACCTAAATTTAGTCATTCTAAGACACTAATCAATCTAGGCTGCAATCTGGAACACACACGTTACCTGAGAGTAAATCCCCTTGGGCTCAGTAGGACTTGCTTCTGAATGGATGGGCATAGGATTGATCACAGCCATATAGAGGCTGCACGCCTATTGGGAGTAAGATCCACTGAACCCTTGGTTGCTTGTTCGTGAATAAACATGTATGGGATTGTACTGCAAGTCACAATGTAAGCTGAGGACACTCTTTTGACATTAAAAATGGAAAAAGCTGCTGCATAACTAAAAAGTACTTAAGGGACCAAAAGGCCGTTTAATTTGTTGGCTAAGATTATAATTCACACGTTTAAATATGGGAACACATAAAAGACAGTGCCATTGCTGAGTCTGATCAATTGGTTTTAAAGTCTCCACAGGGCAAATAATAGTAGCCAAGGCTACATGGTTGGCTGTGTTTGGGCAGACTCTGGGAAGCTGTCCACGGCACAGGAGATGTTGCCAGCAGGTTCAGAGAAAGTCCACTGACATCTCAGATGCATGAAGAGAGAAGGGGTGGGGAGCAGATTTGAAGAGATGAGGAATGGAGAGCAGAGAACAAGGGAAAGACGATGAAGAAGCAAGAGCATGCAGAGATGTAAATGCAAGCTCAGGAAGTTTTTGAGTGAAGATGAAAGGGAAATGGGAGCCAGGGTAGAGAACAAAAAGAGGAGTCCTATGGTTGAAATGACAAGCAGTTGAGTCTATGGAGCCGCTAGCGGAAGGGTGGAAACAAAAGGCGAAAGATATGTCACATGGAAGCCCATGGAGAAGAATATTGCAATAATAGAGATGAGACTGAGTGAAAGAATGGAACAAGGATTTAGTTAAGTCAACAAGGCCCAATTTTACTAATAATTTAAAGATGAAAACATCACATTTGAATAGTAGTCTGAACTGGCAGAAAAGAAAATAAGTGGAGAATTGAAGATTCCACACAGGTTATGGTTAAGTTACAAAATAACATTGACTAAGGGTGAAGGAAAAGTAGGAGGAAAGCAGAGGTGGGTGTGGGTAGCTAAGGGAGAACTGTTTCAGAAAGTATGAACTTCAGATGCTGTGATAAATATCCGTGAATAACTAGTAGAGCACATAATGTGAGTCATAGAGCAGAAAAACAGAGGCAGAGGGAGCTAATGTAAACATTATAACCAAAGTGAAAGGGAAGAAATTAAGAGGAGCCAAAGAGAGAGAAAACTATGAGGTGGGGCCCCTGAGACGGGGGGGGGGAGATGGGGGAGGCGTGAAGCAATTGAAAATAGAAGAGGTTGTGGAAAAGAAAGGGACACAAGCAAGAGTTTGAGGTCAAACTTTGGGGAGGAAATGCCTGAAGGGGCGGGGGGGGGGGGGGAAGATACTGAGAATGAATGGAGAAAACCAAACTTTTTTCCAGAAAAGCAACATTTCAAGAAAATGAAGGGGGAAAGTAAAGTAGAAATAAGAAAGTTGTGTTCTGACTAAAAGAGAAGCAAAAAGAGGCAAAAAGGAATTTGCCATTAAACGAAAGGGAAGATACAAACAAAGCAAAAAAAAAAAAGTTTAAAAAAGGATTCCATAGATAGAAGAATGGATAAAATGATTATTGTGGAGATAAACTTGTAAATGATATAGAAGGGAGGGTGAGTAAGCCAGCTATGTCACCAGCTTCTGTTATAATTCTCAGGCCTGGCAGCATGATACTCACAAGATCGATCGGTTGGTTGGTCTGTCTGTCTGTCTAATATCATCTCTGAGAACTGGGAGTGTTGTGTGGGGCAGATGGGAGTTATCAGTAGGCCAGTTCATGGCCTTCGTTCCCTTCCCCTAGCTGTTCCTCTTCCCCCACTTTCCAACTTGTACTCAGATTTTGTAGCTCCTGAAGACCATTGTACATGGCTGCCAGATGTACAAACTTTGACAAGAAAGCAACAGTTCGCGCCTTTAGTATTAGATTTAGGTATACACTAAGTAGAAGACAGGAGGGCCTGGCTCTGGTCCATGGGGTCATGACTTAACGACTAAACAACAACATACACTATGTAAGAGGCAGTTGAAGATTTCAGACCTAAAAATGGCCAATACACATTTTCTTAAAATGCCATTATGAGGCCTCTTAAACGTGACAGAGCCACAGTTAGTTATAATCTGCAGACCTTCCAGTTGTAGCATGTAGTTTGGCCCCTAATTGCCTTATGGCCTGAGCAGCTTTGTTCAGACTTGAACGTTTCATTTATTCCACATGTGAGCTGCGTCAGAATTTTATTTTGCTCTTTGTGTCGTGGCAATCTGTGACTGAGAAATTCTCTCTCTCTTAGTATGACCAGTGAGTTGGTACTGAAAGCCGCAGTTGAACCCAGTGTTCTCAGGCCAAAATCTGAAAACATTCTGTTCGTACTGGATCTATACCAATGTTTTGGTTAGAAATGCAACCTGGTGAACAGTTGATTAAAAGCGAAGCTGCTGTTTTCCCCCTCACCTGTTAGCAGCCCTGCACACCGGTGATAAACGAAGTCTTATCTGTCTTGTTTATTTATAGTGTGTCTCTATGTTTGAAAGGCATCAGGCTCACTGACCATCGTTCACTGTGGTAGAATTCTTAACAAGGTAAAGGAAGGAAGGGCAGTAGGCTAGTTAAATTTCTTGAACCCTGTGTGAGATCCTTCAGTGCACCTGAGTTGTCCTGCAGATATCCTCGTTACCCCCCTACACACATACACACCTCAACTAGAATGCCTGTTCCAGCTGAAACTAAGAATTCAGCATAGTTTTAAAAATCTATTGCTACGTTGCAGGGCATTCTAGGGAAAGTTACGTAAACCCATCATAGTGCCTCTGGTAAAGTGTCATATTCATAGGCTTATATCTCATTCAAATCACAACCAATTTCGCCAGGAACACTCAAAGGCACTTCTCGACAATGAGGGAGGTTTTGCTACAAAATTTCAACTTTCAACCCTCACCATTTCACAGCTTGGTTCTGTTCTGGGGGAAAAGGAGTTGTAATGATAATATTTGAAGTGTATATTTTCCCCCACTTTACTTATATTCAAAAATGGTCCAGACCTTTTCTTGCAAAAATCTTGCTAGAAATAATCAGCTCTCGTAGAAAATAGAATCTAGAAAATCTGAGTTGGAGGGAAAAATGGAAGTTTCTGGGAATGATAGGTGTCTGAAATAAAAGTGTTGGATTGAAAAAGCTAATGTAGGCTTAACGGCACTGTATTTATTCATGACGGCATGTGTTGCTGTACAAGCTGTTCCCAGGCATTAACTGAAACGTGGAAGTGGGCTGGCAAATCTAAATGTGGTGAGAGGATACGTGGAGGGAAGTAACATTGACAGGGGAGAGAAGTTAGGATGAGGAGATTCTTTTGTCTCCTTAGGAGAATGCAAATGCCATACACTTTTCCTAAGAAATGGGGACCCCTTTGTTCGTTATTTGTGTAGTACTGTCTGTGTAAGTGGTGTTTTATGGTGTGATATAAAGGCAGAACGCTGACCCAGGTAATCTACCCAGACTGCCTGCACGGAAGTAGATGGAGAAAGCAAAGGGTACATTTGTGATCAGAACAAAACGTCTGACCATTTGGAGCACCAGTTGCAGAAGGTGGTATGGCTAGGTGCTTGCCAGGGCCACATGATCAGCAGAGGATGACTAGCCATGAGGGCGCTGTCCCTCTTCACAGTGCTCCCAAGATGCAAAGAGGCAATGGTGGGAGAATTTCCTCTTTGCACATCCTTTCTCCATCAGGTTAACAGCTGGTTTTATGTATCCAGCAGTATGTAGTGGAAGGAGGGGGGTCACTGAAAGACTGTTAGGAGGGGGAGTCTGACTTTTCCATGATCTTCCCAGTCAGTGAAAAAGTAAAAGATGTTAGCCTGCTCCCTGCTGTAGTAGCTTTCTCTCTGCAGGGTATAGTTGGTTGAGAGAAGCCTTCATAAATGTGGTGTAGTCCGTTTTGGTATCTCAGGGCTCTTGTCACCACATTCATGCATGTGTGTGTGTGTGTGTGTGTGTGTGTGTGTGTGTGTGTGTGTGTGTGTGTGTGTGTGTGTGTGTGTGTGTGTGCGCGCGCGCCGGGGTGCTCTCGCGCATGCCCAGGGGTGCTCATTGCTTGTTAGTTTGAGTTGGGTGTGTTTTTCTAGAAGTGTGCCATTTGCTTTCCTTTATGGCTGATTCATACTGGACCATTCTGTGCAAGTGAGGATAATCTTGGACTGACAAAAGTTGTTTTGTATTTCCAGGCTCGTTGTTGTTGTTGTTGTTGTTGTTGTTGTTGTTGTTGTTGTTGTTGTTGTTGTTGTTGTTGTTGTTGTTGTTGTTGTTGTTTAAATAACAGTCCTTCTTCATATTCAGTATGTAGGATCCACTAGGCACTTAGTTCAGTGCAGATTTTCGTCTTTTAGGTTGGCATGACTACAGAAGAAATAGATTGCATGGTTCATCATGAAATCATCAGGCAAAATGCGTATCCATCACCTCTGGGCTATGGAAGTTTTCCGAAATCTGTTTGCACCTCGGTAAACAACGTGATGTGTCATGGGATTCCGGACAGGTACTTTTCCCACACTCATGCGGATGTTAAAAAATTAAAATATTGTGCTAAATTCCCCCCCTTTTTTTTCTGCTAAAAGAATGGTGTGTTAAATCTCTCCAGCCCTTGTTTCATACCTCTCTTTATTTTAGTGGGTTGCATGGAAGCTTCTGCAGTAATTAATAAAGATTACACAGCAATCGTGCTTAGCAGATTGCACCATACGTAATTTTATCAGAAGCTCCAAGAAAGCATTTCATACACCTGGCTGCCATGCTGAAAGAAAGCAATGCTGGCACATGAGGAAAGTGTGTAGTAATAAAAACAATGATGAACACATTACATCCTTTTCCCCATGTGCTATAGTGCACGGGCTAGGATGTTTCATCCAAGGGAGAAAAGTCCACAGAAAAATGATCCTAATTCTTGGCGATACATAAAGGTGGTATGTGTTTGTTTTTAATTATGCACTAATGTGTTTTTAATTATTAATGAATGTTTCTTGATCATAAAGGCAAAGATGCTAACTGTCAGTCTCTTAATTATGACAGGATCACTGTGGTTATAAGGCTTATTCCTTTTGTATTGTGGGCTCTTTGTCTCATTTAAATTAATTGTTTGGGGTTCACTTGAACTGGTTGGAGCTTGAAGATTAGATGTGTTTATTCCATTTGCCTCCTCCCTGCTCTGCTCGAACAATGATATTTGCTCCTTTTACTCTTGTTTAGGTGTGCACATATATATATATAATTAGGTGTGTGTTTTTACTTTTCTTTATTGAAAACTGCCTATCACCATTATGTGTTGTGCTTTTCTCCCCCCCTCCCCCTTTGATTATATTTAAGCCGCCCTCTCCAGGATGGGGATATTATCAACATTGATGTCACAGTGAGTAATTTGTATTATTATTATATGTATGTATACATTGTGCAAAAATAGGCTTTGAGCAACTTTTAAAATTAAGTAGCCGCAGGAAGAACAGGAGACGGTCAATGTAGTATTCACAGATGAATGTGCCAGTTTTACTTCTAAGCGAAGGCACCAGCAGCTGGTTTCCTCTTATTTCTTTTTTATTATTATTTTCCCCCCACTCTGTGTTTATTCCAAGTAGACCCAGGCCTGACTTGAATTTAGGGCTGGAATCAGATGCACTGAGATCAATGTTGGCCTAAGTGAAATGTCAACCCAATCCTGCTATGTGTCATGTTTTTGAGAAGGTGTAATTGTTATTGATCCACTGTGTAGTTAATGCAGAGCACCACAGTACTGGGCAGCAGCTGAAGACAGATATGTATGAGATGAGCTAACATGAAGAAAGCCAGCATTTTTCCCTCACTCTGCCAAGATTGATCTTCCTCTTCCTGCTGATTTTGAGTGGGGCCTGTCATTATCTTACTCTGTCATTAGAGGCTACATTGGCCTGTGTATGTCAGTCTATTTGGACAGCAAGTCTTTTGCTAGCAGCGTTCCCTACATTTATTAAAATCCCCGAAGGTAGTATTGTGTTCCATTTGTGGCATAAGAGCCCTGAACCCTTTGCTCACAAAGGCACAACTTGATCCGCAGCCCAGTTAATCCAAAATGCTGGGATTTACCATGGGGTTTAAAGCCCAAACCTGCAGCTTAACTGATTTGTGGGTCCTACTATATGCCTAAAATATAACCATTGACAGAAACCATGGCTACAAACATTGAGAGATTGTTTTCATAATATAAATCTTCAATTAGAAAATTCATCACATAACAGCCAGGAAAATTGAACGCATAAATGGGGATATGGTCCATTATTAGAAGAGGGATTTACGGTATATATTCTGTCACTGTTTTGTAACTAGTGTTTCTTTGGGTGCATCTGAAGAAGTAGGCTGTAGGCCATGGAAGCTTATCTCAGATAAAACTTGTAGGTCTTTAAGGTTCCACAAAACTTACTGTTGTTTCAGCACTAAAAACCCCCCTCATATTCAGAGGTATTTAATCTTAGCTATCCAGCCTTAGTTATGCATATATATACATATACATATACATATACATATACATATACACATATATACACATATATACACACACACACACACACACACACACACACACACACACACACACACACACACACACACACACACACACATATATATATATATATATATATATATATATATATATATATATATATATATATATATATATATATATATATATATATATATATATATATATATATATATATATATATATATATATATATATATATATATATATATATATATATATATATATATATATATATATATATATATATATGTATCTGAAGTTTTTAATCCTAATCATTAATGTTGAATTTGGAAACCTCATGTAAATGAATTACCAGTCTTTGAATGGTACACTCTTTTTTATGCTAATTGTGATTTCGCTGTTATTCTATCATGTTACGCCATATTAAATCAGTATTTTCACATCAGTCTTAATTGGCTGCTGGTCTCTTACTTATATATATATAAAAAAGAAGAGGGCCTGGCGTGCTCTGGTCCATGGGGTCACAAAGAGTTGGACACAACTTAATGACTAAACAACAGCAACAAATATAAAAATCATATATATTCCATATTAATATACATTCCCTATTAATATTCCATATTTAATCAGTACTGTATTCTCACATCAGTCCTAACTGGCTGGTGGTCCCTTTAATATAATTAAAAACACATACCGAATGTTTTATATATATATATATATAAGGAAAACCTAATCCTCAGTGCCATATTAGTAACGAACATGTTCTACCACCACCCCTCTATTTATCCAACTTAACACTAGGAAAAAAGTAATGAAAACACTTATCACTTTAGCCTCTGAAGTTCAGCAGCTTTAATTTAATTTGCAAAGCAATTCAAATACTTGGATATCATAATACAGTAAGTATAAATATCAATTTATAGCACTTTATTGTTTTAAGAAAAATGTTACATAACTCTGGACTGGGTTGGGCAACATGTAGGCTACTTGAAACTGGCCCCCTACCCAATCATTTTTGGTCTCTCAAGCCCCCCTGGAGGGTCCATTCCATTCCCTGCCACTGAATTTACTGTGAGGATGGGAAAAAACAATCTCCCCTAATTTTCACTTGTTACAAAGCACTGGCTGAATCCAGTTGTTTGCCTTAGCATAGGATATACTCATAACTGATGGCACTTGTTCAATCAACATTTGTGTAAGTCTTGTTGATTCAGTGGGTCTCCTCTATTTGAGATCAACAATTAGATTTAGCTGACTTTTTAGTGGAAATACATTTAGTGCTAAATATATTAGCATTTTGGGGAGACTTCCAGGAGGATTATTAGCCTCTGAAAGAAAGCTTGAATGTGGCTTTGTCATGAAAATGAGGGTGAAACGCTGATTTTTGCCACCACAGCAGATTTGTCAGTGGGAATGGGGCACGGGCCTGGATGTGGTTCGCAGCAGGTTCCTGGGAGAAGTAAATTGGCTGCAGACCACTTCTGCTCTAAGCCAACAGTTTTGTTATTGTTCGTTTAGCAACGGCTTGTGCTATTCTGAATTACATGTAAAACACTAATCTTCAAGAGCTCCTTATGGGCAAACTGAAAATTAAAAGCAAAGTGTTTTTCCGTACAAAAATTTGCCGTTGGTAATCACTACAGATGTTTTTGCATAGCATATCCCTAAAATTGGCTATGTATCCTCAATTATCTTTCATGGAAGAGTGTCAGTATTATTCTGGTGTAATCAGAAGCATAACATGGCTAATTCTGGGTCTCAGAAAGCCTTTGGATTCACGCTCCCTGGTGGTTGAGTTTGTGTTAAGGTTGTTGATGGCTACTAGTCACCATGATCATGTGCGGACTCCAGCATCAGAGGTAGTGTGTCTCTGAATACCAGTTCCTAGATAACAGTAATTGGAGAGGACTACTGACTCCAGGCCCAGCTTGTGAATTTCCAGTAGGCCTCAGGTTTAGGATTCCAGACTAAATAGGTCTTTTGTCTTATTGAGCCTGGCTATTCATTTATTTTTATTTTGTTTTATTTTATTTATTAGATTTTTATCCTGCCCATCTAGACCAAGGGTCTACTCTGGGTGGTTTACAAATTAATAAAAAATATTCATATATTCTTAAAGGACAGCAATAAAGGAATTTTAAAAAATCATCAAATATAAGGATGTGTCGCTAGAGACTAAGACCAAGATCACCACGCATAGGCTGTGAAAGCTGGACAGTTAAAAAAGCTGAAAAGAAAAAAAATGATTCGTTTGAAATGTAGTGCTTGAGGAGAGCTTTGTGGATACCCTGGACTGCTATAAGGATTTACAAGTGGGTCCTAGATCAAATCGAGCCTGAACAATCTCTGGAGGCAAAAAATGATGAAACTGTTGTCTTGCCTTGGGCTCACCATGCATAGGCTGTGAAAGCTGGACAGTTAAAAAAGCTGAAAAGAAAAAAAATGATTCGTTTGAAATGTAGTGCTTGAGGAGAGCTTTGTGGATACCCTGGACTGCTATAAGGATTTACAAGTGGGTCCTAGATCAAATCGAGCCTGAACAATCTCTGGAGGCAAAAAATGATGAAACTGTTGTCTTGCCTTGGGCTCATTATGAAGAAGGCAGGATTCTCCGGAAAAGCCAATAATGCTGAGGAAGGTTGAAGGCAGCAGGGGGAAAAAAAAGGAAGACTAAGTACAAGACTTGGGTTTGCAAAAGCAGAGCTTGATAGTTTGAGAACAGGACATTTTGGAAATTGCTTATTCATAGAGGTGATTTGATGGCACATAACAACAGCAAATTTCTTATATTGTTTTGTGCCAAGTAAGATAACTCTGTTGAAACAGAGAACGATTTTGTAAGTAGTTTATGGTATGATGTGGTGGTGTGTTGTTCAATGGGGACAGGCAGGAGTCTGCACATGATAAAATGGCTACAAGGATTGGTGTTCCCCATGCATTTTGG